AATGTAGGTGCATGTACACTTGATCAGATCGCTCCTCCAAAGTTGACTTCGGAGGAAATCAAGTTGCCAAACCTATAGTCGAAACGGGTCTTGCGAAATCTGCGTAGGCGCAATGTCAAGAAGGCATGTGTATACTCGTCACGGACGACAAGTAAGTGACTGACATTCGGTCGGCAGTAATGATTTCCAAAAACGAACGCGTTCTTAGCAGCCCATCGATGGACGAAAGTGTTCTCGATGAAAAGATTCGAATTGGGCGATACTCGTCTTAATCTTAGGAGTCTTTAGAAAAAAAATTAAATAAAGAAAGATTTGATCGAACTCAACAATGTTTTCCCGGAATCCGTGCCATGCGATTTGTCTAAGGACAAAGGCTCTGGACATGAAATCGAACTGATACATGGTTGGAAGTACTGTGTCATAAAGCAGCGGCCAATTCTTGTGAACAAGTACTTGCGACTGACGATTTCTTTGCCGATCGATTAGCGGCTGGTAATGTGAGGGAATCAACATCCCCACACATCTCTGTGACCTTCTGTGTGCGAAAGGCCACAGGAAGGTGGCGGATATTGCATACGTTAAACACTATAATGCTGCAAAGGTACCGGATCAAACGCCGATACCAATGAAGGACGTAGTCATAGATGGTATGGCAAAAAGCACCATTTTTTCGTCCATAGATCTGATGGATGGATTCAATCAGATCCTCATGCGTGAACGGGATATCTCTTACAGAGCAGTGAGCACCCCCAGCTCTATGCTCTGGGAGTGGCTAGTGATGCTACAGGGGCTCAGTGACGCCCCCGCAACGTTTAACAGATGTGTTACAAATCTGTTGCCGTCGGTGCGCGATATTGCACCGAGCCACTTTGACGAAATCTTCGTCCATAGCCGGGCAATGGATGCAAGGACGGACGCGGAGGTTCATAGAATCCATGTCCGAAAGGTTCTTACAGTAACGCGAGATCATAAGTTGTTAGCGAACCTCAAGAGGTGTATATTCACAGCGAGCGAGATAACATTTCTTGGCTGCATCGTGAATAAAAATCGTGAGTAAAAAGGTAGAAAATCGTGAGTAAAAGGGTGTAAGCCCTGATCCGGAAAAGATCAAGGCGATTAGCAATTGGATTGTGCCAGTCGACGTCAAGGGACCTCAAAAGTTCCTTAGCTTGGCGGCGTACTTGCACAAATACTCGCGCAACTACGCCGATATGACCGTTCACCTCTTTCGTCGTTTAACTAGGAACTAGAAGTTATATGGTACGCTGAGTGTCAGCACTCTTTTGAAGGTATCAAGAAAATCTTGATGCAATCTCCTGTGTTGGCGATTGCAGACCTAAACAGACCATTCCATGTGGTCCGTGACGACAGCGTTTTCGCAATCGACTGTTTGTTGATGAAAAACGATGCAGACGGTGCAGAGCGCGTCTAGTATCTATCGCGTCAGCTGCAAGTGCTAAGCGTAATAGTTTATTGCATGACAAGTAACTACTTCTGATAAATTATGCAATGGCAAAGTTTCGCGTCTACATCCTTGGACATAGGTCGTTTGGAGTCTGTACGGACCATGCGTCATTACGCGCGTCTGTAAACAGCCCACACCTCTCGCAATTGATAACGAGGTGGCTATCCTTTTTTGAGGATTGCAACTTTTTCGTGAAGTTTAAACCTGGACGACTTAATGTCGTCACAGATGCGTAATCGCTCCAAACCGATTACAAGTCAGCTGCGTAGTACAACAGTAGGGGTGATCCCACTGTAGCAACACTAGTCACTAATATTCCGCCGTCAAGATTGCTCGACGAATCAACATAAAGGCTTAGCAGAAACAAGGCTCTTTTGCAATTAATGGATCATCTGGTGACTCATTTCGTAAATGTTTCAAGGATTTACTGGCCTGTTATCAATTCCATGAGGATTAAAACAAAATTTACAGCGGATTTCTATTCTTTGCAGCCGTTTACGGAGAGATGCCTCGTGTTGTCGTCCCCATTCAAAAATAGTTGCGCTTGCGCATCTTGAACGAATGCCATGTCGCACCACCTAGTGGGCATCGTGGGATTGAAAGGCATATCTCACGGTCGCGACTTTTACTGAGCCTGCCAGTATCATTTCGTTTATAAGTACATTGGTTATTGGAAAGTATTCCATGTTGAATTTCCGTTCCTTTACCCTGTGCGGCACTAACTCCTCTACAAATTTCGGCAGACTACTGGAAATTCGCTTCAATCATATTCGTTCCCGCGACGACACTCGCAAGAATAGTGGTATTCTTGTGTTCGTAGACCAATTTAGCAAGATGTTACATCTTGCTGCAGTTAATGAGTCAATTTTATCCCATGGTCGTGCCCTTGTCTTCATTGACACGGTATTATGAATCCACGGTCTACAACATTAACTAGATTTTAATAGATGTACTTTGTTCACGGCGACGTTTTTGCAATCCGTGTTTCGATTCCTCGGAACACGTCTGAATATGTCTACTTTTTACCATTTTAAGACTTTGGGTTTGACAGAACGCGTCAATCGCGTCCTCAAAGATTTTAGGATGCGTCCAGTCTTTCACAAATGGATCAAATTTTGGACGATGTTGGAGTTTGCAATCAACAACCTCGTGCATGCGTCTACAACACATACACCAATTTCCGTTAGCGGCTTAATCCATACACACCTTCCAGCAAATTTAGAGCGTGACTCTGATTCATAGAAGAGCGGTTTTCGATCATAAAAATTAATCCGCCTCTTGCTCATCACGTGTCGAGGAACTCGACGACGCGAACGTTGCTGATGTTGATCTGATCGACATCGAGGAAGAAACCTCAGCAAAAGCGACTTCACAATGGCTGAGCCGGATATAGATACGATGCGGGTGTATTTAGCATTTTTAATGACAACACCAGCGAGGGTGAGAAAAATCTTGCTGAAGCAGAAGATAAAAATTTACTATTATGCACAAGGCGCTCTGAAAAAAATTACTGTGAGTCAGCAGACATTTTCTTGATGGCACGAGAAGCGGTGGTTCATTTTATGCAAGACTTCATCGCTTACACGGTAGTACGGAAGAAGCCGATTGCTGACGAACATGGAAGAGCCAACGTTATTCTGTTAAAAGTTAAAGACTTAGTTCTACCGTCTACATTAAAATTTACTTTAGCACGTGGTAACTAACGTGGTTACTAGTAAACTAATCCTCAAGAACACATCAGGCCCTTTCGTGTACTACATCGCAAAGATAAAACATCGGTTCCTTTCGTGAAACATCGTAAAGGTAATGCGTTGACGATCGAGTTACCTCGCAGGATACGTACGCCTCCTACGCTCAGAGTCGGTCGCCTCTGCCCGTGCCATCGGAACGAGGTCTCGTCCTTGGGATAATACATCCGCCACGCTCAAGAAACTCTAAGATATTCGTATAAACCCAAGCCAGTTTCTTAATCTGGCTCTGAATACCGCGTGCTGGCGACGCATTTCATCCACTTCGTCGCGAAAGGCTGGACGCACACGCTCGTTATTATTTTTTATTAAAATGCCTGATACGATAGGTCGCCTGTTCGATGAAGGTGGATGCGTTGCACTCACGCGTTTAAAGGGAGGCGCTCTTGTCTCTCTTGCTCATTACTATCACGCAGAATTTGTAAGCGTGGCTGGAGACAACTAATCTTCGCCTTTAACTCCAGTAAAATATTCGGAGTTGATCCTTTCGTCTTCACTACAGCCATTGTTGGACTCTCACACTGGCCAAACCTGTCACGTGGATTGCATCTTGAACCACGCGACGTAAAGGGGAAGCGAACAAACTGTCCTTTTCTCTGGCGAGGCTGTACACTTCGCACGACAGCTGAGAGCCTCGCACCCAGATGGTGATTGACGTTGAGGGTCTCGTCCACCAGTACGACGAGACACATCCGATGTCTCAGAAGGGTCATCGTTAAACACGCGCCAATGGCGCTGGTAGAGAGATTGCACGCTAGCAATCGCATTGTGCATTTAGAATCGATGGGCGCCTTACCTCAGGGTGATGAAGGAAGGGAGCACACATTCCTTTAGGTGCGTTGAGCTTTGTCGAGACAACACGGACATAAATCGCCCCACATGAGGTATGAAATTCTTGCCTCACGACACAGAATGCTAACTTGGCTTTTGCACCAGTTAAGGTTCGCTTTTCAAACCTAACACGAGCTGTTTAAGTATCTGAAGCCAAGCTTTGATCCCCATGTGCTGCACATTGAGCATTAAGGCGTTACGCCCGCAGCAACGAGCTTTTGTCTTCCTTAGTGCTGTCATTATACCAACGATGCTTCGGAAAAACATTCATTTACAAGTCTACTTCAGCTTAAAAGTTACTTGCGCTGATGTAGAGGCTGTGCAACAACCTTGCGTCGAATAATGAATTTCGATGATGTAGACTTGTCTCGCCTGACAGGTATCTCGAAATTCTTTCTAGTAATCCCCAATTCTTGTGTTCGGAGGCAAGCCGCAGCACATATACGTCTAGAGCCTCTTAAGCATTACTAACGGAAGTCTTGATACCTCTAAAATTGTCATTACGGCGGTAAAAGTCATCTCCGCATTAGCTAGAAAGCGAATGTGCAGTAGCAGGCGCGGGGGTAGGGCGTGTCAGCATGCTTATCCTCCGAACTAAAAAGGTACTCTTGTATTCACCATGAGTCTGACTGTCCGCTCGAGTCCTATTCGCAGGCTCTGATTCGGACGCCCCTATAGACTCGGGTATTCTAATTTTCTTCTTCTCGTATACCCACCGTCCGACTCCCCCGAATGAAAAGCTTCACTTGGGAGCCGTCATCATTAGCCTGTGGTGACTCACCACGTGTATACTCTCTGTTAATATGTGTCTGTCTGACGAATAAAATTACGTGACTTCATGTCTTTTCTGCAGTTTCGTTGCAACTGGTTGCAGCCTCGTGACGGACAGAGGGACTGGAAACCCCAAGGGCTATGGTTTTTGTGAATATGCAGACGGAGCCACGGCTTTAAGTTCCATGCGGAACCTCAATGGGTACGAGATCAATGGACGCAACCTCCGGGTGGACTTTGTCGATGGTAAGGACAAGTCTGGAGGGTCCGAACGAAAACGTCACGAGACTGGAAGCCATAATGGGGACAAGTCTGGAGGGTCCGAACGCAAACGTCACGAGACTGGAAGCCAATCTCGACCTGGGGGAGCTACTGGTAGCAACTTTTGGAGCGAGGGCGGGCACCCGACGATGGGGACTGGAGAGATGGCGATCCATGCAATCGAGTCGGCCATCTCTCGGTTCGGACCAGTCAAGTTGTACGACATGTTGGTGCAGCTGAAGGAGCATGCAACGCAGAAGCCAGAGGTGACCAAGAGCATTATGATGGCGAACCCAGCGCTCACACCTGCACTTGTGCAGAGTTTCAAGACACTGCAGATCTCCATTCCGTCGTCAACAGAGACACAAGCAGTGTTGCTGGCCCCTCCTCCCATGATGCACCAACCACCACCCATGGCAGGAAGGATGATGCAGCAACCGCTACGGCCATCTATGGGCGGGTCTGCGGTATCTAGTTCTGGTATTCTAGGTATGGCCCCGCCAGGTGTTCAGTCGGCTATGCCAGGAGCGTCAGCAAAAGCTGGTGGTACGCGATGGAGTGCACGACCGGGGCCTTTGGCTGCTCAGGCGACGAGTGCCGCTATGACCAACAGACCCGCCCCTGCTTCTAGCCCGATGCACACTCAGTCTTAATCAGGCTTGATGCCCACACCAACTGTACCAGCACATTCGAGCGGACCGCCTAGCAGTAACTTGGCGCACGCTAGTCGCGATCCTTGTCGAGCAGGAAGAGGAGATCCACGTGCAGCCAAGAGACCGTATTCCGCTGGCGAAGGACCGGTAGCGCCTACACAAGGAGACCACGACGCTCTGAAGCGCGTCAAGTCCAGCGGTGCAGGCGGCGATAGCGCTTCAACTGGTCATTTTGACGCAATCGCTGAACTTGCGCGCAACACGACTTCACAAAACCTCGACATGCTGCCACCAAACGAACGGCAGATGCTGCTGGCTTTCATGCAGCAGAACAATATTCCATTTGGAACGGGACAAAGTGTTTATGATGGTATTCAAGTTCATCAGGGTGCTTAACGAAAGACTACAGCAACGAACTAACTCCTGATAAACAGCCAACAAAGAATAAGGAGCTTTCTCTTATCAAATGTAGCGACTCTCGACTAGCAGTCTCTACTTCGTCAGCGTAGCTGACTAACCAGAGTTTCCCCCATCTACCGTTGGCCCTTTGTGCGTTAATTCTTGCTAGCACGTTTGCCTCCTTTCGGTGGAGATTGACCATTGGTCCTGATGCCTTTTCGTGCACCCGAGAAGCCCAAGATATCGTTCGTACTTTCCTTCGTGTTACTTTTGCCATGGCGACGTTTGCCCCCAAAGCCAAACCTTGCATCTTTGGCCTCTCGAGTCTTGTTCGTCCGTGGCTTTTTGCTCCCCTTGTCACGGTCTCCACCCGTGTGCTTCCGCTTGCCACTCACGATGGTCGAGTCAAGCTCGCCATCGTCACCATCCTTGAGACCGCTGCCGCTGCGTGTGTCTTTACCTTTTCTCTTCTTCCACTGCTTCACAGCTTCAACAGTGTCTCCTTCTTCTGCATGTTCCGTTCCTTGACCTTCTCTGCCTGCACTTCTTTCGCCACCTTCCGATGCGCCTGTGACTTCTTGCGCTCTTCGACTGCCGTGATCTTCTTCTGCTCGTGAATAAGCTTGTCCTTGACTTTGTCCATGTGCGCGCCGCGCTTGAGCATCTCGGCGAAATAATCGTCCTGCCGCTTGTACGCCACGCCGTCTTGCTTCAGTCGGTCTTTCGCCACACGCACCATAGCGATTGAGTTGGTGTAAAACGCCACTTCCCGCTTCAAATCGTCATTCAAGTTCTCGAGCTCTAAAGGAGCGGTACACGTCTCCAGGGTCTCGATCCACGGCAGCGGCTTGACGTCCCACTCCTGCACCAGCGCCAGCAGCGCCTCAATATTGTACACACGCTTGTTCTCTGACTTCAAAGTGCTCAAAACAGTCGCTGCTTCCGCCTGAGCCTCAGCTACGAGCCGACGCTCGATTGCACCTTCTGCTTCAACGGTGTCGCTGTCATTAACATCGTCGTCGCTCTCACTCTTGTACCCACGATCAGCGACCGCAATGGAGCTGAGCGCTGGCGTCTCGAGGATCTCTTCCTCTGCCGCATCTTCGGCTCGCACTAACGCACTGATGGAGCGACGGGGCGAGTGCTGCTGCTCTTCCGGACCATCACGAGTGAGGAGGAGCTCCGAGGATGGACTTGAGGAGCGCAATGGGGACTTTAGAGCGAATTGATTGGCCAGGACGAACGCGACGTCACTCGGTTGGTCTCTCGCGTTTGTGACGTGGTTCACAAGACTTGATCGAGGCCTGTAGCCATTTGGACTGTTCGTCGTGTGTACGACCAACGACTAGATGAAGAAACGAAAACAGGCGCTTGTCGGACGAGGGACACATTGGTCGTACATGTCTTTTTGCTACTGCGAAGATAGAGGATGCTGAACGGAAGCTTGGCTTGAATCAACGGTAACGGCCCATAATTAATGGGCGATTGTCAAGTAGCTGCGAGAGATGCATCGACGACGATTGCAACATTCACTAATGGTACGCTGACATGATTGTCCTCGTTTAGACTAGGATTGCAACGCCTACCACCACTGCAGAAGACGTTTTGGTCTAGTTATGCTTGCAGTGTCTGAACTCTTTCTACTTCCCAATCGCATCGTGCAAATGCTGCGCCTTTACTATCTGTATTTGAGGCCAGCAAACTCGATATCGCAACGTACACTTTCAACGTCGAAGTCTAACAATGATCTCCCTCATCTCATATCCAGGCAAATGGGTTGCATTGTAGCGGAGCTACACAGCTCCTTAAGTCAGAGGAAGACTTAACGCTCTACGAGCAACTTAGTTCTAAAGAACTAACGACTTTACGAGTCAACAAGCTTTATAGCTTCAGATCCCTGTTCCAGGGGACCTAACGATTCAGTGAATCGACAGCACTTAGTGCTCAAGAGTAGCTACCTCAAGGAGGTGTGCTAACTCTTAGTGATCAGAGATCAACGATCGAGACGGCTCGCAAGACACGTGTCTTTCAGATCAAAATGGGAACTGATTTTATTTTTGTTAAAGCCTATAGAATATCTTAATCCTACTCAAAGATCTTTCGTATCTAATGGCTGACACTCGTCAGCCCCTACAAACCGATAAGATATTCTATATCACCTTCACAGAAGCGAACCCTCAGGTGTGTAACACCTCTGGTACAAAGTACCATGATTTCGTGCAACCCCGTTACACCCTCCCCCACCAGACTGACGTTTGCCAAAACGTCAATCGAACTCGTGTTCTCAGCGAGAACAGTGCGCGTACGGTGAACCTCACGGTAACGTACGCTCCAGCACGATGTCCTCATCACCAAACGAGTCAAAGGCTCTGTGTGACTACCTCGGAATAGAGGAAGAGGTGGACTATGGTAGCGATACCAGTGTCCGCGGTGACACAGGGACAACGTCCGGCTCACTGATGCCTGAGGCACAACTTTCGAACACCCCAAATCCGTTCGCTGAACGTGGAGGTGCGAGCGCGCCGCCAGCGCAGCATGCAGCATCTGGTTCTGATGAGACTATCATCGCGAACCCGCTCGATGAGCAACAACAACTGCTTGTTCAAAGAGAAGAAAACGCTCAGCGTTATGCACAGATGACTGCAACCCTTAAACGCCAGCGTGATTATGTGTTCACCCCACCCAGTGTGGAGGAACGTCTGCGTCAAGCGGCCGGCCAAACATTGGCAACGTGGGTCATTGGCCATGGGCCTAAGACTCCTGAGGAGGTGGTGAGCTGCCAGGCACTTCGTGAGAGGTACCTGGAGCCGCACCTAACGACTCAAAGTCAATACAAGGCACGCCTTGACATGCAAGCACGTGGTGCACCAGTTCCACCGATGAAGGGTATACCCATTCTCCTGCTCGCAGGCGAAACAGCGAGTGAAGAAGACGATGCCTTTGTTCACTGGGTGCACTATGTGCGTCGCCTCAGCAACATTTTTGCTCTAAGGGCTAGTGCCCATGCGGCGGATGTGCGTCTCGAACGCAAGCTTCGGTATGATTATGCCAAGCTTAAGGCCAGAGGCCAATTGCGCAAGCGCACGCGCTATGCTTCGGCTACTAAGGTCGCCGCGAGTGCTGGTCAGTCTGTGACCAAAAACCCGCCAACCCGCACCACTAGTGGTGGTGAACGGCCTCGGCCTCGAGATGACCATGGCCACGATGCTCAAAAGCCTCCAAAGCATATGGGCAGTCTTGCCGAAGGGGTACCTCAAATTCCCATGAGTTTTCAGACTCAGGGTACCCACGCCACTTTACCAGATACTGGTATTGGCCCTGACGACGACGTCGTTTCAGTAGTCTCTCGACATGGAATTGACGACACCCATGCTCATCGAGCAAAGTCGGTGGCGGCCGGTGTACCGGTGGAGGCCCACGAGAAATTGGTTCTCGAACTGAAGGGTCTTCAAGAGGCCTTGGGTAAGTCCCAGTGCATGCTGGATGCAATGCAAAGCCTCCTTCAGGCGATGGAGCAAGCTCAAACTCGGAGCGAGGCTCAGTTGGACTTGCTGATTCGTCTACAGCAATCCGGGGCAGTGCCCTTGTCGTCGGCGCAAGCGCCTCCAAGTTCACATGGGAAGGATTCCGGTACGGCTTCAGTAAGCCTACGTAGAACACTGGATGTGTGCGCAATTTGCGCGGGAGGTTTAGCGTATACGCAAGTCCTTTCTTGGCCGTGACCGTAAACGGTCCAATAAAGCGTGGACGCAACTTTGTCTTAAAGGCAGCAGACACTACATTTGTAGGTAGATTTTTAGCATTGAGTAGTACTTGGTCTCCGACCTCATAACGTCAATACAATTTCTGCCTTTGGCATCAGCTTGTTGTTTTTGGTTATCTTGGCTATCAGCCATTGCGTCACGCACATGGCTTAAGACATTTAATCGCGTTGCGAGAAACTCGCTTACCTGTTTTTGAACAGTAGCAGGGCTGATATCAGCAAGCCGATCGGCAACCTCTCCCCCACCAAGCCCTGATTCACGTAGTGATAGCGTTAACGGAACGCGAGGGTGAGTGAGACCGTTTATATAGAACGGAGTAAAGCCTGTTGAGGCATGAACAGCGTTATTCAACGCAAACTCAACAACAGGGAGCATTGAACTCCAACGCCTAGGTGTATCAGCGCAAACACTGCGCAAAATGTCGTTGATGACGCGGTTTACACGCTCAGTTTGACCGTCGGTCTGCGGATGATTCGCTGTGGACATGTCCAACTGAGTGCCAAGCACCTTGAAGATAGACTTCCAAAACTTCCCAGTGAAGCGGGGGTCTCTATCAGAGATAATTGCCACCGGCAAGCCATGTTGGCGAAAGACACGGTCGATAAACAGCTTTGCTGTTCCTTCAGCATCAATGCTATCCGGCACAGCCGCTAAGTGAGCCATCTTGCTCAATCGTTCAACAAAGACCACAATACCAGTGTTGCCTTCCGAATCTTTCGGTAGGCCAAACACAAAATCCATGCTCATGGACTCCCAACAACCACTGGGTACCGGCAAACTAACCAGCGGCGCCACCGCATGTGCCGAGGGTTTTACCCGTTGACACGTTTCGCACGTACGCACATAGGTGCGCACCCACTTATGAAGTTTGGGCCACCAATAACTTTGGCTCACCGAGCTATAAGTCTTCTCACGACCGAGATGACCACTTAAAGCAGTATCATGTGCCTCATAGAGGATCCGATACTTTAATATCTCATCATGAGGTACAGCGGTACGAGGCTTATCCTCAATATCCTTGCGATAGCACAACAGGCCATTATCAATGGAATATCGATGTAGCCTCGCACGTAAACGTGCCGACAATTCTATGTCCGAGTCTTTAAACTCATTGCTCCCAAGAGCACGTAGCAAAGCTACACACTGATCGTCCTTGGCATATGCCGCACGAATTAAGTCAGGGACTGACGACGACAGGGTCGTAACATGAGCAAGCTCATAGTCAGGTCGACGCGATAGCGCATCAGCCAAAGCGTTTTGCTTACCTGGCTTGTACTTCACCTCGAAGTTATATTCGGCAAAGAAAGAAAGCCAACGAGCCATTCTCTGTGAGATGTGAGGCGACTGTGTCGCAGTGCGCAATGACGCATGATCGGTATAGATCACAAATGGCTTTGAGCCAAGCAGATGGACTCTGAATTTGACAAGAGCGTACTTCATAGCAAGTAGCTCTTTGTCATGAACAGGATAGTTCTTTTCAGCAGCTTTCAGCTGTCGAGATTCAAATGCGATGACGTGTTCGCGTCCGTCGACATCTGTTTGTAACAGAGCACTGCCTATGGCAAAGTCAGATGCGTCACAGACGACACTGAAAGGCCGACCAGAATCGGGCAAAGCCAATATTGGCGCATGAAGGAGACTTTCCTTAACTGCTTCAAAAGCATTATGTTCGGTGTTACCCCAACACCAATTCACATCCTTTTTAAGGAGATTGGACAATGGCCGAGCCATATCTGCGTAATTTGCACTGTACTTATGTAAGTAATTGGCAAGGCCAAGCCACTTACGCAAGTCCTTTTGGTTCTTGGGGACTGGCCAATCGACTATGGCTTTTACCTAAGCGGGATCCGCTCGAAGGCCTTGCTTCCCAATGAAGCACCCTAGAAAGGAAATCTCTTCTGCACCAAAGATGCACTTCGATGCGTTCGCATACAGCTTATTCGTTCGCATGCACTCGAGCACAGCTCGTAAATGATCAATGTGGTTATCCACATCTGATCGCCCATTCATTGCACGACTATGGACAAAAATGTCATCAAAGTACGTTTGTGCATAGCCTCGATGAGGTCTGAATAGTTGCGTTACCAACCGGTTAAATGTAGCCGGGGCGTTAGATAGCCCTTGCGGCATAACGAGCCACTCCCAAAGCATACCGCTCGGAGTACTCACCGCTGTTAGCGGAATATCGCTTGCTCGCATGAGCAGTTGGTAATAACCATCGACTAAGTCGAGTGCACTGTACAGTGTACATCCCGTCATATTGTTCTGAAGAACATCCTTTCTAGGAATAGGCGTCTGCGCCGGTATAGTGGCTGCATTAAGCTTATTGTAAGCATGCACAATACGCCACTTGCCATTTGGCTTTTTGACACAAAATGTCGGTGTTGATTGGGGAGACTTGCTCTAACAAACCATTTCAGCCGCGTGCTTAGCACGAAAGAAATCGTCAATGACGTCGCACTGTTCTTTAGGCAAAGGCCACTGCCGTGTTACACAGTATTTAGTTCCAGGAACTGATTCAATCTCATGACGTACACCTCTATCTGGAGGTAAGGCAGAAGGTGGGTTGTGACACACCACATCTTGAAATTCCTTGACTAAAGGATAGAACGGATCCAAAGGATCTTTAAGGATCGAAGATCCACTTCGTGCACTAAGTGCCGCCTTTGTATCCTCTAGGACAGACTCATCCATTAACGAGGAAGAATTTAAGTCAGTATTAGGTCTAATGATTGCTAACTCGGATAACTCTCCTGCCTTTAAGGCCTGGCTAAACTCGCCATCAGACATTTCGTCTAGCTCACACAGAGCGTCCACAGATGGAAGGGTTTCGAGGCTCACGTTGCCATTAACCTGACCAGTCACTCCATTAACAAGTGTATATAGTGTATTGCTAATCTCACTATGTGACTGTGAGGACGCCTGGCGCTTTACAGCTGCTACTCGGCGTCTCGATTGTCTCTTCGAGACCTTACTCCCCTTAGGGGTCGGGACAATATTGTCCCCATGGTTACTACCAACCATAGCACGCTCCACACGAGAGCTTTTGTCTTGACCGACATTAGGTGTGGTGCCCTCACGGCCGTCCACACTATACGGCGTATCGCCAACAGTGTCATTACTGACATTAGGTGTGGTGCCCTTACGGCCGCCCACACTATACGGCGTATCGCCAACAACGCCATTACCGGCGTTAAGCGTGGTGCCCTCACGGCCGTCCACTCTATACGGCGTATCGACAACAATGTCATTACTGACATTAGGTGTGGTGCCCTCACGGCCGCCCACACCATATGGCGAATCGCCAACAACGCCATTACCGGCGTTAAGCGTGGTGCCCTCACGGCCGCCCACACTAAATGGCATATGGCCAAAAATGTCATTACCGACATTCGGTGCGGTGCTCTCACGGCCGACCGCACTCGGTGTAATTTCACGTGCCACCATACACACATCAAAGGAATCACGTCCTTGATCACTCGGCCCTAGGCCAACCATGCTTTCAGCATGCAATGAATCGTTATCACAACGAGTACCACTCAACGGAGTACGTGCCGTTTCACTAGTTTTAGACGAGCTAGGCTCGAAACTTATGTTTGTAACATTGGAGTTAAATAACTCGGACATTCCAATATCCAGCACATTGACATCTTCTGTCAAAGGCTCGCGCCAATAGCGCTTCTGTTGCCTAGCAAAGGTGGGTTCATGACTCTCCAAAGCTTCGCTAGGAACATTGCGCGTAGCGCCTAAGGTCTTAGACCTCCAATCAATACATGGCTCATGGCGCTCAAGCCAAGCCATACCTAGGATGAGATCATATCTCGAGTCCAAATCTAGGACAAGACAGCGCTCAATACTGTCAAAGTCTAAAAACTTTATACCTAAGTTCAATGGAACCTTAGGCACCGTTACGCGACTTCTAGTCGCTAAACGAACCGTGATAGAATCACCCTCATGCGCTGTAAGCGCCTCAGCATAACGCTGACTTCTCTCAAGGGAACGGCGTCGAGCATAATTGCAAGACGCTCCAGAATCGATCAATATCGACCAAGGCTTCTCGAAGCCCTTAATTTTCGCCTCGGCGACCAACAAGCCAGACTTGTATCCACGCACCATACCCGTAGGTATGGTACTCTTTGGGGCTAAGCCCTGCATTCCTTTACCTTCTAAAGGTGTAACAGAACATAGTTCTTCCCCAGTAGGGTGCCCCGCGCCTACTGGGTGTCGGCATTTCCCCGTGCCATGCCAGACTTCTGACTCGGGCTCGAGTGTTGGCTCGTAGTCTGGCGTTGCTTACGCAAAGGGCAACCAGGCCGCAAGTGTTTAGTGCTTCCGCACGTAAAGCATCGTCTTACAACGTGTTTCTGCTCAGCAGCTTGAAGCTCAGCTTCACCTCCATCTTCAGCATAGCTGGGATCCATCGGTTCCGGCCTATTATAGGCAGTGGTACCCGAATAGTTTGCTCTCACAGAGCGAGGATTGTATCCGTTCCAACCAAGTCTGGCCGGCTTGAAGTTATGCTCAGCATTAGGAGCAATTCTCACAGCCTCTTCAAACGTAGAGGGGTGAACCCGAAAAACTTCGGTTCTGGCAATGCCAGTACGTAGACCTTCCATGAAGATAGTCACATGGACTGCTTTAGGCAAAGGGTCAGACTGCATTGCAGCCATGAGCGTTCGCAGCTCTTGGACATAGTCCGATAATTCATTCTTACCCTGGCGGGTAGAAAGAAAGCGTGAGCGCACGCGGTAAGCCTGGTTAGGTGGAGAAAACACCTATACCAATTGTAACTTGAGCGACTCCCATGTGGGAAACGCTATGTCCACCGACGTGCTACACGTCAAGGCCCATTCTCTAGCTCTACCATCGAGCTTCGAGATAGCCAGCGAGACCTGTTGATGGTCAAGCGTGATCAGGCCTGATCTCATGGCCATCTCGATCTCACGGATCCAGAGGATGAGGTTCTCGCCCTCCTTACCGGAGTAGTTTTTTACTTCCACTCTAAGTGGACGAGGCTTAGCCTCTTCGTCTGGTACAGACACGTAGCGTGTAGGCATAGCCGACGCTATTTGGTCTTGGACCTGCCCTAAAAGGGTCGCTTCATACTGCATGAAGCTTTCAACACGTGCATTAAGCACTTCAGGACCTTGTGAAACAAGGAACTCCACGTACTCTGGACCCAAAGATGCGGTCAGCTTATCAAGCGCGACCTTTTGGGCCTCAGATAGGGGAGTGATGTTTTCCATCCTCACAGAGGATCAGTCTTAAACACTCAGGCGTAGATTGACTACAAGTGCTACCAAGTGTAGCGGAGCTACACAGCTCCTTAAGTCAGAGGAAGACTTAACGCTCTACGAGCAACTTAGTTCTAAAGAACTAACGACTTTACGAGTCAACAAGCTTTATAGCCTTAGATCCCTGTTCTAGGGGACCTAACGATTCAGTGAATCGACAGCACTTAGTGCTCAAGAGTAGCTACCTCAAGGAGGTGTCGCTAACTTTTAGTGATCAGAGATCAACGATCAAGACGGCTCGCAAGCTACGTGTCTTTCAGATCAAAATGGGAACTGATTTTATTTTTGTTAAAGCCTATAGAATATCTTAATCCTACTCAAAGATCTTTCGTATCTAATGGCTGACACTCGTCAGCCCCTACAAACCGATAAGATATTCTATATCACCTTCACAGAAGCGAACCCTCAGGTGTGTAACACCTCTGGTACAAAGTACCATGATTTCGTGCAACCCCGTTACATGAACTGTTCAATTTGATGCCTTGCTTAGCACTCTTTACCGGTGGCAGCATTCAAACCCACACATTGCCGTCCTGCGCAATATATCTACCACCCAAAACCCGTGGACCATGCTCCGTTTCGAGTTGTAGACAGCGAATCGATCATACACGCCAAGATGACAAGGGCCTCGTAGATTTAACGACGAGCGCCGACGCTTGAAGGACCTTTCAGATTCATCAGCAGCGCGTCCAGACGGTTACGAGAACATTCTCTGACCAAATCGGTAGAAGCGGGCGTCCAATGTATCCAGCATTGTGACTGCTTCAACTGATAAGATTCGTACCGACTGCTCTACTGCAGCTGCGTCGGGTCAGACTCTATCGTCAAATTTGAAGGTCTAAAAGGCATGTTGTCACGTTCTAGAAAGGATTGCGGCACATCTGCTGTTTAAAATGAAAAAGAACTGATCAAAAGAGTGGTAACCTAAGACTGTGGCGTGATTTTTTGTGAGTGAAATGAGACGGAATTTCAAATCGTGCAAAGAAGAATCCTGTTGATGATGTACATTTTGTGTACGCTTAAACGTCTTGATGACGTTTGATTGTAATCGTTTTGAAACGGACACAAAAGTGAATCTCAGCAGTCGGTTATATGACAGGGAAACGACACAGGCGAGACCTTCGTAGTGCTTCTACGATAAGTAGCTGAATGCATATGCAGATTTGTTAAAGACTAATATACTATCCAATTTACTTCCTGGCTACTAGTTGCCCTCCCTCTCCAATTTTACCATAAAAGGTTATGAGCCCAAGTACTGTGGGAGCGAACAATGTTCTCAACGAAGATAACTACTTCGCATGGGAATTTATGGTGCGGATAAAGCTCGCCAAGAAAAAGCCGCTGGAGCACATTGACGTGACGAAGGCACCGAGAGGAGATGACGCTAATGTGTCATTTGGGAAAGTCAACGACATGAAGGCCTATGCAAACGTTTGCACGATGATCAGCCCAAGCCTTCAGTCCATGGTTCGGGATGCAGCGACGGCTGCAGAAGCGTGGGGGTTTTGAAGAGCCTTTTTTTCGCAGAAGCATTCATAATCGGGTGCAGATGCGTCGACAGCTGCACGAGTTCAAGATGCAGAAGAGAGACAGTGTAATGGATCGCTATCCCATTTTCGATGAGCTGTGCATGTCAATGCAAGCTATCGGTGACGAAGTTTTTCAGGATGAGCGACTCGTGATTCTACTCGGAAGCCTATCTGATGAATACGACCAAATAGTCAAGATCATCGAGAACATGAAGGATATGAATCAATTTCAAGCCAAGGAAATGCTTTGTCGTGAATACGAAGGCATTGCTCGAAAGGAGAAGAGCGAGATTGCGTTGAAGGCTACAAGAAAGTTCAAGAGCAAGAGTTTTCAGCCAAAGGAAGCAAGGAACAATTTCACTAGGACGTGTTTTATCTGCGGCAAGCATGGGCACAAGAAACAAGATTGCTGGAAGAAATCGGACAAGAAGAAGAGCTTTGAGCAAGCGTTCACTGTGAGGAACAATGCTCTGAAGGTTGGCTACTTGCCAGTGGAGCGAAAAGTCATATGTGTCCAATCCAAGATGACTTTTTGGATACCCGCCCACTGAATAAGTCAATTGGAGTTTCGATTGCGAATGGAGAAACTAATATGGCTGATGGTGTTGGGATAATTCGTGTCCTACTGAAAAACAAGAGTTAATTCGCATTAAAGACCTGTTGTACGTTCCTGATCTGAATCGTCGTCTTCTTTCTATTCCTGCATTGTCTGCTAAAGGGTTACACGTAATATTTCGCAATAAGACATGTGAGACTAACAATGATCGAGAGTTGGTGACTCAAGTGACCCAAAAGGGCAAGTTGTTGGTGCTTGAATATGACACCATAGAATCTGCGAGCGTGAGTGAAGAAGTTGGCGGTGGAGCCAAACCTGTGAGTCCAAGTGTGTGGCATGCAAGACCAGGACATCTGCCAATACAGGAAATGAAAACCTCGGCAAGTGTGTCGAAGGACTTACGACGGAAGATTCGTCTGTTGTGGGTGTTGATCAAGACAAAATATGCGAAGGATGTGCGACCGGAAGGTTGTCAGTCAAGCCGTTCCCGAAGTCTACTTACGGCGTAGTAAAGACCACTTCATTGATCCAAGTTATCCACAGCGACGTATTGGGACCGATGGAGACCAAGTCACAAGGAGGAGCAAGATTCGTAGTGACATTTCTGGATGATTATTAGAGATATGTGGGTGCTTACTACATTCCCCACAAGTCAACAAAAACGCGGTCGATAAGTTCATCAAATACAATTCGATGATGGAAAACCAGTTGAATTCCAAGATAAAGTGCATTCGCACCGACAATGGTGGTGAGTGCATCAACAAGCGGTTCACAGATGTCGAAAGGCTGGTATTGTGCACCAAGCGACAGTGCCGTATTCACCGCAGCAAAATGAAATGGCTGAACGACTTACACGGACACTGACTGATCGAGTAAGATCGATGCTTAATTACATGCAAGTCGAGAAGAAGTGGTGGGCTGAGGCTATTGATACTGCGGTATTCGTGACTAACCGAGTCACTGCGCTTCGAACCTGACCAAGACTCCAGTTAAAGCGTTTTTGGGACAAGCCATACCTGTACCACATGAGAGTATTTATTGCTAAGGGTTACGCCCATATTGCACAACCAAAACGTCTAAATTGGACAAGAAGGCATTTCGATGCTTGTTTCTGGGCTACTCGCATGAAGTGAAGAGATACTGTGTCCGGAATTTCGATTCAAATAGACTGGAGCTCACGCGATCAGTGACTTTACAAGAGTTACTAAAGTCCAAGTATGTGTAAGTGATTGCGAATGTACCTGCTACTACACGTGCGAATTTCGACAATGATGATGATGCTAAAGTTGTGCAATTATTATCTACATCAAACCATAGTGAAGTGGAACCGATGGTTGTAGACCAAACTGGGACTGACCAAGTCGTATCACCACCAAGTGAATTTGAGTCTTTGAATCCACGACAGGAATATCAACACATACCTGATCCTGCTTTCGATATCGATGATGTTTACATGGAGCTGACTGATCTGGATGCAGATACAACTCGGAAAATTGTGCCCAGGGAGAGACTGATGAATCCTAATGATTACGCAGTGGTGCAATCATCTCATTAAAATGGACAACATGTCCCTCTTGTGCTACCATCATCGAGCTGTGAATTTGAAGCGTTAGTTCCAGTCGGGATGTCCAATACACCTGCTACAATGCGCAGTGATGATTCAGACATTCGCGCGTCAAAAAGATACCGCATTGAATATGAACAAGCGAATGCAACACTCGAAACCCCATCGACATACCAAGACGCAATGGAATCGCCGCAGTCTAAGAAGTGGAGCGAGGAAATCAACACCGAATTGATGGCACTGAACAAAAAAAGACGTGGACAGCGGTGGAGAAATCGCCAAACAAAAAGGTGATCGGAACCAAGTGGGTTTTTGCCATTAAGCAGAATGAGCTTGGAGAAGTTGATCGATTAAAGGCACGGCTTGTTGCTTTAGGGTATTGACAAAGGCTTGGTGTGGATTACTACGAGACGTATTCACCGGACGCAAACGTGAAATCTGTTCGTGTATCTTTTGCCGTGTGTTGTCATTTCGGCATGATAGTACACCAATATGATATTAACACAGCCTTCTTAAATGAAGTTTTGGAAGAAGTTGTATACTTTTTTACCCCTCAGGGCGTCGACGTGGACCCAAGTCAACTTTTGAAGCTCAACAGAAGTTTGTATGGATATAAACAGGCTGCCGCGACGTGAATCTAGACGATTTCAAGTGTTTTAAAAACGTGGGTTTTGTGGCATGTGTTACAGACCCGAGTGTTTTCGTCCGTCACTATGGACACCTTTCGTGGATTTACGTGACACTATATGTCGACAATATGCTAATCGGAGGTACTTCTGCTATTTAAATTGATAAAGTTGCAGATGAACTTTTCAGTCATTTTAAATTAGGGACGCCCGGAAATGTAAGATTTTTTTCTCGGCATTAGAGTGGAGTACACACACCATACAAAGAAACTTAAGATCAGTCAAGCTGCTTGCATTTACAGAATGATCGTCAAATTCAATCAAGCTGGGGCTAAAGCGGTCAACAACCCGAGTGTGGAAGGTCAATTCATGCTCAAGTGCGAGAAAAAGGACCCTGAGATGGAGAACCGACCCTATCGATCTTTAATCGGATCCATCCTATATGTGGCAACAGATATAAGGCCCGGTAATGCATTTGCAGTGGGTCGCCTGAGTCGACATTCGGAAAATCCAAGTGAAGAACACTGGAACGCAGCCATTCGTGTGCTGCGCTACCTAAAGTCAACTGCAACGCACGGAATTTGCTATCGTAGCAAGCCCGGTGGCCTCAAGCTGAGAGCATTTAGCGACGCAGAATGGGGGAGTGACAAGGATAATCGACGTTCGACATCAGGAGTTATAGTGATGGTCAATGACTCTCCAGTCATGTTCAAGTCGAAGCTTAAAAGCCTTGTATCACTAAGCACTGCTGAAGCTGAATATGTTGCACTTTATTGTGCATTCAAGAGATATTGTGGACCAAGAGTATTTTAATGGAGATGAAGGTCAAGATTGACGCTCCAGTCATTGCGAATGAAGAAAACCGAAGTGCGATTGCTATTGCGAAAAGTGAGGGATATCAAAGTCGAGCGACGCACATTTATATTCGCTATAATTTTGTTCGCGATCAAGTCAAGGCCAAGGTGGCACAGCTGGAGTACATTAAAACCAAGTTACAGCTCGCCGAATTTCTGACGAAGGCGATTCCGACCAGCAAGGTCCAGTTTCTCGTGGCAAAGACAAACGTTGGAGACTTCTAGTCGAGGAAGAGTGTTGATGATGCACACTTTGTGTACGCTTAAACGTCTTGATGACGTTTGATTGTAATAGTTTTGAAACGGACACAAAAGTGAATCTCAGCAGTCGGTTATATGACAGGGAAACGACACAGGCGAGACCTTCGTAGTGCTTCTACGATAAGTAGCTGAATGCATATGCAGATTTGTTAAAGACTAATATACTATCCAATTTACTTCCTGGCTACTAGTTGCCCTCCCTCTGCAATGTTACCTTAGAAAAAAACCAGCCCGTTCTGTAATGGATGGGCGCAAAGGCTCAAAGAACCTTCAAGATTCAACGAATTTTCGACCAAAATCTTTCGAACACAATCCTGAGGGGCGGTAGGTAGAAACGAGCGCTCACCGTATCCACCAAAATTAGCGACTTTAAAGTACAGCTCGTGTCATGTGGTCTGCTCCTTCTCCGTCAGATGACACTTGTACCGTTCAATCGCATAAATAAACTCAAGTCAGGCAGAGATTGCAACATGCTGATGACCAATACGAAAAGCAGCATTATAAAGATGTGGGACACAAAGACTGTGCCATTTTATTCTATAACATTAAGTTGTAGAGAATGTCGAGGAGACGTGGCTGTATTTTAGCCAGCTGGTCGCACCCCCTAAATCCTCGTCTTGTTCACTCATAGATCCGACTGAGCACACACGATGGTGATTCTCTATTTTAATGAACGGGTTAGATAGGCGTTCCTCATTCTATCGTAACATCTCTACCGCGCACGTATATCTCTTTACCTTGCGTGTTGCTTTGCAAAATCAAGAATTGCTGCAACCCGCGGTCGCAGAGCCAATCATCGCAACTTCGCAATCTCGTCTTGTATGCGCAATGCAACCACGATGCTTCTGCGACAAGACTTATCTTCTGTGTTGTATGGGTGGATCGACGACTTTCACTCGTCGCATGACCACGACTGCGCGTGTACAGCACATCAGTGTCGAGAATGCAGTCCTGGTTCATTCCTGATTTTGCCACATACGTCGCAGCGGGGAGAAGACCAAACAAAACAAAGCCAAGCCAAGCCTACGGTACAATGCCACTCAAGTCCGCCCTCTGAGTCGTCCTTGCTGTCGTCGCCTTCATGGGTGTTTCCGATGTCATGCATGCGCAAAGTGATGACACTGTAGATGTCTGCCCAGGTCACATGTGCGAACCTAAATGTAATTATGTGGCTCCAGTCAAGCCTCCTCCATGAAATGCTGAGGGGACCACTGTCAATTATCCTAATTTCCTAAGTCGGAGGCCGGGGTCGTCTATCCGTTTTCCTGGTTCAGGTACCGAGAGTGCACTATCCAAACGATAAGGCTCGACAAGTGACGGAAAGAGAACAATTGCTTAATAAACGTTTGTTTTCCTTTTCTTTGTTGCATGTCCATTGCGTAGCTTGCAGTACTTCTGTCAGGTGTTGATAAATGCTTATTTGCCATATAAAACCCAGAAGTCCTTAAATTTCCTTTTGTTGTGATTTGGAGTATGCTACACCTTTAATCTTCACATATGAGCGGTTAGTTGAGATTCTATCTGATCTGTCGAAATGCAGGTATCGCAATGAGAATGCAGATTTAGCTACCTCAGCCACCACTAATTGATCATTACTATCTTTCTCTTTTGTTACAAATGGGCACCAGTCAGGGCTTTTTAAAATTCCCGATTAAGCCAAAACCTGGAGACGAAACCTTTAGTCAATTATGACAAGTAGACCCAAGGTTTTACAAATTTAAAGTTCGTCCCTAAAATCTTGTTTTGTTCCTCCAAAACAGATCCTTTAAATGCTTTTCGATGAAATGATTTGCATTCGAATAGTCGATGCCTCTGCCAAGTGTTTGTTCAAAAGGTGGTGGTAAAAGCCGCATCAAAATTCTTTTTGGACTTTAGCCATCATGGAATAATTACAATTTCAGCCAAAGCTACGAAATTTGGTGATACGCGCTAAAGTAATCATGGTTGTCAATTTCGAAATTTATGAGCCATTTTTGGCATTACAAATTGTGCTAGAAAAATTGACGATTCCTATCCCAAACACATACCTCGGTAGTGATCAATGCTAAAACATTTACTGTTACCGACTGGCCGCGCGGCACCAACACAACATCGAATGTACATCGTACGGCCGCGCGACTAAAATGTTAAAATGTGTATCAAAAGTTACATATTTGCACGCAGTTTAACGCGGGAACCGTTGGCAAAGTATGATACTTTAATAATTAGGACTGCGCAATCAAGACTTAGCTATCATATACCGATCTTTATGTCTGGGAATATGCGAAGCGAATATTGACGTTGCCAAATGTGACGGGGCACCCTTTTCTGGGTGCCACGAAAGGTCACGTACACTAGAACGTGCAGAGGAAGCTTGCATCTGCCTCTCAGCATCTTCCGCCGCACATCGCATGGAGTTGTTTACCTTGCGTTGAGATCCATATTTGAATGTATCAGACCAGTACAAGCTCTCTTTGTACCTGATGTGGCCTTACAGTGACCACATTCACATAAAAGTTGAGTGACTGTGATTTAAGGGGGTAGGTAATTGGGTGAGTATGTTACATGCATTCAACCCATGATACTTTTTAATTCGAATATTATCATCAAGGTTGATAATGTTCGTGAATAGTGCCATTAGGGGTGATATTTAGAAACAGTCACCGATGGCTAATGTGGGTCATCAAAGTAGTCAGATTTAGCGGTCCAATTAATGATGGACGCACGCAATGAGTGGTGAGCAAGACTTTAGCATACATTGTTGTAGATAAACAGAATTAAGTTAGGACTAAAACATAGGTTCCTGATCACGAATTAATTGCATTTATTACGTTTTACTTTTATCAGCAACCAGTCAGTTCCTAGTTGCTTTACCTTCATCTGACTACTTAACAGAGGTAGCGAGGCACCACTCACGCTTCTGTTGGTAATAGTAGCTTCACATGATGGTCCAGTGTGTTGCTTTGGCGACCCGTTTCAGCGACCGTACCCGTTGAGATCCAGTACCGGTTTTATTTACAGTAGCACCGAGATAGATACTCTACATCCAGTACTGCGTCTGGACTCATTTAAGCACGTTGTGAGCCTGAGCCGACATAAAGAGGAAGAATTCGACTACGATTAGATTTCCAGGAAAACGTCAAGATGAATCGATGAAACAATCTCAGTGGCAACAGGACTCCTTGTCAAGCATCTTCTGTCCCCCAAATCTAATTGCTTTAAGCGCAAGAGTAGCCCCTCTATCTGGTAGAGTGCACAAAAGAATTCAACCCCTGACTTGGTCAACAGACGGTTTCCATGGGCCCTTCTGTAAGTTCTCAGACGTAAAATCTGATATCTTGAGCGAGCAGAATGAGTCAGCTAAAAGTCGCAAGTCTGTGTCATGTTAGATGACACGAGGTGGTAACTACACAACCAGAATCTAAAAAGTGACAAGTAGCTTTGAAGACAGATAAAACATCACGGGAGCGTTTCATCGCGCGCTTGATGGCGCAAGTACGAATATTATTGCTGTTTGCTACCATGATTAAGCTACGTTCGTTGCCATATGACGTGTTCCTTAGTCATTTGCGTCAAGAATGCCGTGCATACTCCGTTCAATTCGACTTAGTTCGCGCTCCTTGAAAGTTTTGAGCATCAAAGAATGTGTGATGACCCTGAGCATTCAACAATCATTCTTTTGTAATTGAAATTTGTACGCTCGGTGTGGCCGTATGCTATTGACCGGGTGCTCAAATTGGTATTTGAATGTAAGAAATGCCACCGACCAAAAAATGCGGACGTTTATATGTGAGAGTTTGTAATCAAGCTTTTCGCGTAACATACTAATTAAACAACGCTAACTCGTACTAGTAATTACATTTTGAGTAAAAGCATGGGTTGCCGTAGATTTATAGCCAAGAATATAGTACATTTGAGTTGACATGAAAAACACATAATTTGTTATTTTTCCTTTTTAAATTTATTTGTATTGCTCAAAACGTCCTTAGTGGCATCCCTGAGAGGATCTGGAGGGGGTTTCTGCCGCAGGCGTGCTGCGGTTACAAAGAGAGGTTCGATAACAGGAGGCAAGATGAAAGGTGTTTCACACGTCATCACGTCGTCTGCCGAGGCTTGAACATTTACATTCGGTGCTGATGCATAAAAACTTGATGTTATTTTGTGTTACTATATTTTGTGCTATCAAAATTACTGTTGTTAAAAATGGTTCCAGTTGCTGCTACTACTACTGTTGCAGCTGCAGTTGTTGTGGCTCCTACTGCTTTTATTTTAATCCTTGATCTTCAAATTGTTTTTGATGTTTCTATTCTTTTTTACTGCTACTTGTGTTTCAAGTACTGCTGCTGCTGTTGTAATTGTTGTAGATAAACTAATTTTAATGTTGCTCACATTACGAACTGCTGCTCTAGGCGAGTATGCTGCCACTGATGTAGTTGTTAGTGCTTCAATTGTTGTTAAATTGAGAGACCAGTAAGCCCTTACATCTTATATGCTGCAGCTAATTCAGCATGTTTACTCGTTTCATTAGACTTTCATAAATCTATCCTATTTCTTTGTCCCTTGATTTATAAATTTGGAGTCTGTCGACTTCTTCGAATCACGTGTGCTGCAAGGAGAAAAGGGTGCAATGATGTATTTTAATCTATCAAGGTTGTTTGTCGGTTCGTTGCACGAATATGTCGTTCTTCTTTGTATCGTCCGGATATTGTGGGGGGGGTGACCTCATTAATATGTTTTTTGCCATGTATCCGTGTAATCACGCCCTCTATCCACTCTTACATTGGTTTAAATGCGACCGCGACATGACATTCTTGAATCCAAACGTGAAAAAATGTTTGCACTGCCTCATTCGAAAAATGATTCGGTATCGCTTAGGCTAATTAACGAAATGTGGGGGCTGATTACCGACCTTTTTCTTTTCGTAAATTATTATTGACTGTTATCAAGGTGGATACCGAATATAATGGACTTCTTAATGTCTGGTT